GGAGTGACTCAACTAGCTAGCGCGATATGTTTATATTTCTCTCTTTTTTTTTTCTTTATTTTACTTCCTTCTGTCTCGCGTTAGACGAGACAAAAAAAGACAACAACACTTGTTTTCCTTTCTTGCCACTTGGCTAATCGCTACGCAAGAAACATTGGACATGTCTCGCAATTACAAACGCAAAAAGAATAATGTATCATCGGCTCACTTGACGTTCCCTTCTGCTCGGTAATGGTGCTGGTAATTCCACGCTTCGTAGTAATCCGGTGGGCACACAGAAAACACACAATAATTTAGAACAACCGTTTCACGAAGTAACAGCACGATCCGCCACTAAGCACAGACTAGAGTACACGCTATCGACGCGAACGTAGCCACGAATTCGAACACACGCGGGAAATCAGACGATACTATTGTCCGTACTTCTCTCGATACGAACGAATTCGTCGTATACTGTGAACACCGCGAAGAGACGCGGTGACGCGTCTACCGAAACACCTTTCGGCGATGACATTAATGTTTGTTCCCGATGGTTTACCTACACTCGCGGCTTTGAAAGAAACAACGAGAAGAACCACGAAAACGAGACGTAACACGCACGATCTACACCATATGAACGCTCGCGGCAGACTGACAAGTGACAATCGCAAGCCGGCGCAGCCCCACGCGCCACGCTATCCCTACTCACGCGCGTACACGTCTCACGCATGTCCACCGTAGCTGCCGTGTGCACGTTCTTTTCTCTAGTCGCACCAATTCTCCGACATTCCGCATTAAAATCCACCACTATTTCCAATAATTTTCGCCTTTTGAAAGAATTCGCCCGTGCCGCAAGCCAGCCCGCCATAACGATCATCGTTGACTGGACCACTGCGCCACCATATGGTGATTATATTAACTACAGTTATTTGAAATTTCAAAATTTCAAGAAACATTTCAGGCAGTATACAAATAGAAATTTTAGCCTTTCAAATGTCCCAATATACGGTGAAGTATGGCCGAATATATAATTGCGAACGTTATCCCCGCAACAATACGTAAATTTGTGATAACTATTTCATCCTTAAGTTCATACGTTTCTCTGTATTGCTATTATAAAATAATTTATGGCTAATAACGTTTTTGAACTAGTGCCAATTTCAAGGATAAGATTTTTTTTTTAGAAGTTTAACAGCAGTGAGAGCATTGAACTTAGCCAATGATAGATAAATCACCTAAGCTGTTGCATCTGCATTTCAATCGAGTTAAAGGATTATTTTCTACTTTAACCACAGGGTGTGCTACAGAACAAGCGAGTCAATGGTCGGTATAGAAGATTCCTGCTTATGCAATAGCCGTTGGAACAGCATCGATTTCGTCTTTCTACGGAAGATGGCAACAACTCCAAGGATCGCACCCCCCCCCCCCGCCGCCGTCATGAATATTAATGGTTAAAACTGTAGCCAACTTCAACGATCGATTAACGGCAAAGTTCGTCTAATTGCCGCAACACTAATTAAAATCAAGAGCAAGAAGTTGGAACTAAATTAGGTATGCGTTTTCAACGTGAGAGAATTTCGCATGCATATCCTCAGCTAGATGGAATGGATATCAGTTCGTAGTTGCGGAACATCAAAATTGACGTGTAAGCATCGAGAACGACGCCATTTATTATTCAAAATTTCGAAATTGTAGTTTCGATGTCGTAACGTTCGATAAATTGCAAAACAAATTTTAAGAAAGATCTACAACTCCGATAGGTAGCATCATAAGACTAATACATATATGTACAACGTTTAACCTTCAAATAATGGTAAGTAGATAGAATTTAAAGAACTAAGTTAGAAATAATCTCACCGAAGTTTGTAAAATCCACTTTAGATAAAACATCATGGCAATGCCGCTGTTGGCTCGAAATAAATTTGGGCGATACATTCTGCGAAATCGTCAGCCGAGGCGATATTGTCTTAGTAAGTCTTTCGATGGCAAGCAACTCATCGGGGAGTGCACTTCCTGCGAAATTCGATACGGAGAGCAAACTCGATTTAAGCTTTGGTCTCTTGACTCCGCCATTCCCAACTATCACAATCAAGTAACTCCCGGTTGCTCTTACTTACAGGAAGAATTGTGTTCTCTGCGATATGTCGTCCACCACCATAAACTACAGAATGCTGCAATTACACCTGCACTTAACAGTTTTTCAATCCATGTCTGTGTGCCATGTGAATTGATGCTGCCTGTGGTTCGGTCGTCGTTCAAGGTAGGATACTTTCAAAATATTGTTTTAAACATTGAAAGGAGGCAAATACATTTTTTTAGTAACTTAAACAAACCAATAGAACAAATCGTAAAACCAATCGAAATCAAATATGCTATAAATTCATAATAACGAATAATATCTTTAAAAATAAACTTTTGCACTTTTGAATGTAAAACTCTTGTGCATGAAACCTGTATCTCTCTTTCTTTGCTAACATATGCAATTTAAATATGCCTCAAAAATAAACCAAAATATGCCTTAAAAATAAACTTTTGCACTTTTGAATGTAAAAGTCTTGTGCATGAAACCTGTATCTATCTTTCTTTGCTAACATATGCAATTTAAATATTGGAGCTGTCTTTTGATTGCTGCAGTTACAAGCTGTTTCTCTCGTAAATTAATATAGATAATGCTAAAAATATGTCATGATTTATCGATTCAATGCGACGTTTGATGAAATGAATGATTCATTTTTGAACAACCCTCTTCTCCGCCGACAGAGTAGTCATTTTCAATTTTTCAAATTGAATATGTGAATTTCGCAGATTTGTTCCTTTGATATGGAAATTTGGATATTAAAATTTTTTACCAAAAAATAATGTGTAGAGATTTCAATATTAATAATTACACATATTTGAATATTGAATAATATTTTTCACTCATAACATAACATTATATAAATATGTTTTAATATTTTCGGATGATAAATAGCGATTATTTTAATAACAACAAGCTTATGGCTTACATTAGTAATTAAAATTCGTATTAATCAGTTATTGAAATATGCAAAATAATTTATTCAACTATATTCATTATACCATATATATTACTGTAATATATATTACTTAATCACGAAATCATTGCTCATTTTATTTCATGGAACGTAATAAGCAATTTGATCTACGTTACGTATCTCGTTTAATCTGAACAAACGATTAACTCGGTCTGAAAAGATACAACGAAATATAGGAACAACAAACTAAAAATAAAAATCGACAAAATAAAGACTGTTCCAAGTTCTTCCGGTATTAGCTCTAATTATTAGCCTCTATGATTGTCAATGTTTCGTCTCACGGTACAAACAAATTAAAACGCGGAACCAGCTCCGTGTCGAGTAATTAAGACGAAGACAAGCGAGACGGAACAAGGTGAGTGTCTGAGTTACGGTGAAACTTGAAGAAGGGAAACGGGTGAACGTAAAGACCCGGACCTGGAAAAGAGAAAGGCACGAGAAGAAGCTCGAACACCAAATTGTTTATTTAGAATAATGGACAAACGAAGAAAGGATTGAAGTAAACGAACGAGGGAAATGAAAGTCATGAATAAAACGTTGTTGGAAAATAGAATTTCACGATAGGACAGGATGAAGAACCACTCGGATCGAATGTTTAAGAGAGAAGAAGTGGCGGAAGAAAAATAAAAGTATTTACAAAAAAGGGTGGGGGGGGGGAGTGATGTAAGGGTTGCGCCGGAAACAAAGAAAACGAGGGAGAAGAAGTAGAATACGGGAACAAAGAAACGAGTTAGAGGGCTGAAGGCGTAGTTGGATAGATGAACGAGGAAGAAAAGAAAGAGGTGGAAGAAAAGAAGAGACTAGCGCTTATATAAAAGTTGGAAGAAAACACAGAAGCTGTCGGTGGCGGGTGAAGAAGGGGCGATGATAGCGAGGTTCGGTGGTGGTATTAAGTGCTCTTTCGCCGGCACAGACATCTAGGACGATGATGAAAGCGCTCCTTTATTACTTTCTCGTAGTAGGTGCGATTTGAATTTCAAGAGGACACTTGGCCAACCTTGGTTGATTTCTCGAAAACGAAAGACCGATTTTCGTTGATTCGGAACAGTTAATAATTTGAAATAAGTATCTGGCTCCTCTTCAACGCTAATCTAATCTCTTGCAGCTTTGTTAATAAACGCGAATAATGAGCTAAACGGCGATAAACAGCTTCAAATCTTGAACTTTCACGTTCGTAATTCAGCCGTGTTGCATTGTTCGCGTTCGTGCATCGACATCAAAGACCAACGAAAGCTTTTGAATAATTAATTACCGTTATTTAAGCCCACTGATTTAAAACGATTTCACAGCCTGCACAATACGTTATTTCTCTGCATTTTCCGAGTAGTTAATTACATTCAGCAAATAGATCGTTAAGAGTTTATTCGTTTATTCGGAGGATTGAACGTGTATGTGTTCTTCCTTTTCTCCTCCTAGTTTTATTACTGCACAATCCTATATTCTTCAGTTTTAAGATTTAATAGGATATGCCACTATTATTTATAATAGCTTTGTATTTATCGTCGTATTCACTTGCGCAAATAATGTTGAAAGTCTTTCGATTATAGTGATTAAAATTTTAAAAACATCGTTATTGCTTTTAAAATGTTGATCGTCGTATCGATTCAGCTTTCACTCTTTCTCCTCAAGACGATGGAACAGTACAATCTGCTTTTTAATTAGCAATGAGTTTGTATTGGTAAACTTTAAAGCGTATATAGTACGAAGTATGAATATTCAATGGCTACTCTTTGAAAGTTTAATAATAAATCGAGTGCCAAGTTTAATCCTTCTTCCGTTACGAAACACAGAATGTAGGAAAGAAGAATGAGGTCGCGAGAAATTGCTTGTTTTATAGGTCGAATCGGTTTCTGATAAGTTTAAAAGGCACTTGATAAGCCAATCTTCAAAGTATCGTCGTCGTACTTTCCTACACTCAATAATACCTTTTGAAATTATTCGCCGAGTACAATTATGTCATCGTTAACGTTAACGTAAAGGAGTTGTTCCAACAAAACTTATCGACGCGTTCTCTAAGAATCCAGAATTCCAGTTTAGTTCTTGTTCGTCCAAAATCAACTAACAATAAGTATATTCTTTTTATTCTCCCTCTGTATTGTTACATCTCAGTGCCTTAAAAAAAAAGCAAGAAGAAACGAGTGAAAAAATCCATTATCTCATGGATGTCGAGAAATTGCAAGATAGTATACGCTTACAGCGTCCCGTAGCAATAAGAATCAAGTTCCTCGGCTATTTACCTTGGAACTTAGCCGAACTGAAAACGCTTTCGGATGCAGCATCTCGATCCCCGATCCAGAAGCCCGTGTTGCTCTGCAAAAGAAGCATCTCCTCCTCTATTCGTCCTTACCCTCTTACCCTGATTCCCTAGACCCAGCCCCTCGTACGACGATCCTCCTTGATTTCTTTCCACCGTCGGAGACCCGGTCTTCCAGCAGAAACTGTCGATATCTTCCAGCTTCTTCCTCATTCTCTACTGCCAGTGAAAGAGCCGGAATATTGAAGTTTTCGGTCAGTGCTCGATTTTAACTATACGACCGTATCTTCAACGAGCACCGAATCCAGACGCGGCGACTCGACTCGGCTTGGCTCGGCTCGGCTCGACTTGATCTGACTCGACTCGACTCGACTCGACTCGATTCGATTCGACTTGACTCGACTCGTACTCGGCTCGGTTCGGTTCGGCTCGACTCGACTCGACTGGAGAAAGAGACACTCCAGCGTGAAAAAAAGGAGGGTTGGCTGGGGTCGGGGTCGGTTCGGTAGCCGAGTTGAAAACTGAGTGAAACGGACAGAAAGCCGAGAACGAGACGGACGAATCCAACGATTCGCTGGGAGAGGAGAGAGTGGAGAAAGAGAATGGCAAAAGCGAGAAAAGCCGTGGGTGAAAGAAAGTCAGAGAGGGAGAGATAGAGCGCCTAGGCCAGGCATAAGAATCAAACAGGGGGCGGCGAGAGAGATGGAAAGAGAGAGAGAGAGAGAGAGAGAGAGA